TGGGTGCAGGAGGACACTGCCATCTTTTTCTGCTCTTTGTGTTGAGGCCTTTTTACTGGCTTCCACCAGCAGTCAAAGGAGGGAGAACAGAGTAGAGAGTCTGGGGTCTACCTGATGAAAGTAGCAGACAGGGTTTGGAATGTTTCCCTCCCCACCTTCCTCCCTGTTCCAGAGTCATTCAGATCTAGAAGTGTGTCAGGCTGGGAACTGGGGATTGGTGGAGGAATCATGTGCCATCCATGCAGCTTGGAGGTGGGTGTCTGCAGCCCACATGCTGTACTGTACTTTATTTTCTTGGCTCTAGTGCATGAATTCCACAGAGAGAAAACAACCACCAAGGCTCTGTTTTTACACATACATTAGGACTTTTGAATCCCTTGTTTCTTGTAGTCAAGTTGCCCTTTATTTCAGTCTATGAAGACACATGTGGTGCCTGTCTTTTTCTGAGATCAGTAGCCCTTGTTGAATGAGCCTGGCTCTAGATAAACGTGTGTTGTATAAGGCATATAGACTGAAGTCAGGGCCTCAGGACCATGAAACTGTGGTGCTGCCACCACCTTTGTTCACAGACCTACCTTTCATCCTCTTGGATTATTATCAGTGCCTCCCAACTGTCCTCTTTGCCTGAATCTGTCTTCTGCCCTGCATCCAAATTTTCATTCAAAAATGCTCATCTGTTGATGTTATCCCTCTGTTTAAAACCTCTTGGTGGTGCTACCCTTAGGATAAAACTACACTAGTTTACGTGACGTACAAGACTCTGCAAGTCCTGGTCCTATCTTCCTCTCCAGCTCCTTTCTTTTCACTGTTACCCCTTGTACCAATCTCTCCCAAGAATAAGTAATCTTGGCTTGGTGCCTGTAGCTCAGCAGCTAGGGTGCTGACCACATGCACTGGAGCTGGCGGGTTTGAGCATGACCTGGGGCCTGCCAAACAACTATGACAGTTGCAACAAAAAAATAGCCAGGCATTATGGCGGGCACCTGTGGTCCCAGCTACTTGGGAGGCTAAGGCAAGAGAATTGTTTAAGCCCAAGAGTTTGAGGTTGCTGTGAGCTATGACGCCATAGCATTCAACCGAGGGTGACATAGTGAGACTCTGAAAGAAAGAAAGGAAGGAAGGAGGAAGGAAGGAAGGAAAGAAGGGAGGGAGAAAGGGAGGGAGGGAAAAGAAAGAGTAACTAACGTTTAATGAGGGCCATTCCCGATTTTTATCCTTTTAGCATTTCCTCCCTTTGCCCTTATAGATTCCATGTCTATCTTCTCCTTCCTCCCTTTTCTGCCTATGGAACTCTTCTTCATCCTCTAATGTCCAGCTCAAATGTGACCTCCTACTATGTTACCTAACTGGAGTTCTCAGACAGAGTCTGTTGCTTCTTCCTCTGTGTTCTTAGGATTTAGTATAGTGTAGTCGTTATGAGTATGGAGTTCAGAGTCAGAATCCATGGGTTTCAGCCCAATTTTGTCCCTTCCTATGTATATCACTGTGGGCAAAATTAATTACTTACTCTCCTGTGCCTTAGTTTCTTCATCTGTAAAAATGGGGATAATGTTAGTTAATCTCATATGTTGTGAGGATTAGAAGAGGCAAGACTTAAAATGCTAATACAGTGCTTGGCCATAGTTAGCACTCAATAAATGCTTCTTATTCTTGTTATTCCTCTACTAAGCTCTTTTTTTTTTTTTTTTTTTTTTTTTTTTTTGTAGAGACAGAGTCTTACTTTGTCACCCTTGGTAGAGTGCTGTGGCGTCACAGCTCACAGCAACCTCCAACTCCCGGGCTTAGGTGATTCTCTTGCCTCAGCCTCCCGAGTAGCTGGGACTATAGGTGCCTCCCACAAAGCCTGGGTATTTTTTTATAGCAGTTCAGCCGGGGCCGGGTTTGAACCCACCACCCTCGGTGTATGGGACTGGCGCCCTGCCCACTGAGCCACAGGTGCTGCCCCCTCTATTAAGCTCTTATCACTGATTTCTATAAATATTTTTATATATCTGCTTTACTAGTCTTATGTTCCTTGAGGATAGGAGCATATTTTGTTCACTTTTCTTGGCCGTGTATGTAGAAGTTTATAGTAAATGTTGGTTGAATGAATGACAGCTCACAGACTTGCCTTTAAAATGGAAATGGGCAATAAAGTGAGGAATGCTTAAGATTGGGTTTGTGGGTGATCACAGAGGCAGTATTGATGTGACCTTGATGTCATCTAGTTTGTCTTTCTCCATGCCTGAATTCCTCTACTCTCTTATCAGATCATGGGCAGTGCTTTTATGTTTCTAAGAGAGGCTGGATTGCCATGTGGAAGTTAAGCAAAAACTAGGTGCCATGTTCATGTCCTTTTTGTTTTTGTTGTAAACTATAGGTGACATGTCTGAGAGTAAAGCCAAGAAGATCGAAATTAAGGATGTGGATGGGCAGACACTGAGTAAGCTGATTGACTATATCTATACTGCCGAAATTGAGGTGACTGAAGAGAATGTTCAGGTAAACTTACCCCCAGCTGATAGCGCAGTGTATTGTCCACTCAGGAATCACTCTTTTACATTATTATTTTATTTAATCCTCACAACAACCAAATCAGTCATTGAAGAGGAAACTAAAGCCCAAGAGAGGCTAAGTGTCTTGCCCAGAGTTACATGGCCAGTAGGAGGGCCAGTTGACCCCCAAACTCATGCCTGCCTGGTGTGGGCAGCATTCTTTTAACCATTAAGCCATGATAGCTCTGAATATGCCTGGGCCCCTGGAGCAGAACATCTTTAACTCATGTTGGTTTGAATCTTGTAAAGGAAGAGCTAGAAGGTTGACTGACTTTTTTTTCTTCACAGATCATTATCTCATCTTAGGGGTTTTGAGTATTATATTGTGAGACTTTAAAATTTTTCCTGCTTCAACATTAGTCATCCAAATGCCTCTGAGCCCATGGAGGGGCCAAGCACCAGGACTGAGTCTCAGCAGGAGAGTGTGGTTGTGAAATGTATCATCTGCCTTTTCCTCCTTTCACTGCCCCACCTTTTCCTCAGCCATCTGGAGTCTTGAATGAGGAGCCAGTGAAGATAGTGCTTCCCCCAAAGGAAGATGTCTTTACTGTGGGACATTCGGCATCAGCATCATGCCCCAGTAAGGGAGAAGGGTGAAGGTGTGGTCCACTCTTAAACCCTGCAAATTACTGGGCTAAATACAGGCAAGGGGCATACTATTTCTTTTCCTTAAGAATTTACTATTTAGAGTGATAGAAATTACACGTGTTATGAAGGTCTTTTTTTTCTTTTCTCTTCTTTTTAAAGCACAATACCAACTTACTTGTTTATGTGTGGCTAATACCTCTCTAGTGACCAAAATACCTGTTTACCTTATTTTATTCAGCACACTACCCCTTTTTCCAGGATCAAGATCTTTGTGAGTCCGAATTGATAATTGTTATTCTTTCAATTCAGAGTTCCTGTTATATGCCAGACACTTTGTTGGTCACTGAGGTTGTAATAGTCAGTAGTAGCAATTCCATTGCTTGCCCTCCTGGAGTCTGCAGTCTGGTGATAAAGACAGACATTCATCAAATAAGCACAAAGTAATAATGTCTATGCACAAATTGTGATATGTACTCTGAAGGAAAGGAACATGGATCATACAATGAGAGAGAATATTAAGGAAACTCAATTTGGATGAAGGGAGGAGATCAGGGAAGGGCTCTTTTAGAAGATAAGGTTTAAGATAAGACCTGGGAGATGAGTGGGAGTTAGCTTGGTCATGAGTAGCTTGTGGTACCCATAAGGGATCAGGGTGTAGGCAAGCAGAGTCTGATCCACACTGCATTTGGAAATGGAGAATCTATCCCTACAATAGAGCCTGCCTTTGTTTCTGGTCCCTGAGACAGTCTCTTGGGTTATATGATTTCTGTAGTGATTTGGTCTAATCTTCCCCTCCCTTCTTTAGTTGAATTATATTTTATACACAGTAAAATGCACAGCCATTCAATTTTGTTGCTGGTTTCCCATCCACTGTAGTTACACAATAGATCTAGTAACAGAATTCAAATAGCTGAATAACTTTGGGGCAGTAACAATAAGTACTAAACAATATAAAATGAGTATAGGGGAGGCTATAGAATTGTATGAGTGGAACCATCTTTCTTTTCTTTTCATCATGTATTTATTTAACTTTTTTCTTGTGAAGTACAAAGTATTTACAAATATGGATCATTTTTTTTTGGTCACAGTTCTTTTTATTAATAGCAAATAAATACTTATTTCAGTTTCAAAGTTGCTATACTAGAAGATGCTAATAAAAATGAATTTAAATTAATCACTTAATCCTGCTTTAAGACAATGAATGTGGCTTAAAAGAAAGTATTCAACATCATTGCTTATAGGTCTTTCAAAATTTGTTCTTAAAGTTTTTAGAACATTCCTGTCTGTAAAATATAGGAATTGCTGATCTACATGAGAAGGCCTCTCTGGAACAGCCAGTGGGGAGTTAAGTGATCATCATGAAAGGAATCAATGAACATTCAGAGTGCTAACTTGGACTATGCAATGATCCTTCCCTTCCACATTAGTTCAGGAGAGATGTTTCTAAGCACTGAGGTATGAGGAATCATTCTGTTGTTTGCTTTTAAAATTGGTCTTTCCAACTAACAACAGTCAGTCTCTGGCACAAATGCTATTGGTCCTTAATGTCCTGTGATTTTAGGAAATTCAGTAAATAGTTTGGATTTAGTTCAGTTCAATTCAGGTTTAATAAGTTTTACTACTTTGGCAGAATAAGAGTCTGCCTTATAAAATATATAATGTGTAGGTAAATCATAGTCTTAGAATACTGCAATATTTAAACCAATATCTGTTTTAACAAATGTCTATAATTAGAAGAAGCTGATGAAACTAAATCCAAAGTTATGACAAGGGAGCCTCACTCTTACTTGAAATTATGTTGCTTAGAGAACTTTAAAGAGTTTGTGGCAGGCTGGGCATGGTGGCTCATGCCTATAATCCCAGCAGTTGGGAGGCCAAGACAGGTGGATTGCCAGAACTCACAGGTTCGAGACCAGCATGAGCCAGATTAAGATCTCATCTCTAAAAATACTGAGTGTTGTGGCAGGTGCCTTAGTGCCAGCTACTTGGGAAGCTAAGGCAAGAGAATCATTTAAGCCCAGGAGTTTGAGGTTGCTGTGAGCTACAATGCTACAGCACTCTACTGAGGGAGACAAAGTGAGACTGTCTCAAAAAACAAAAACAAAAACAAAAAAAGAAAAGAAAAGAGCTTGTTTCCTGAAAAGCCATTAAGGGGAGGCAAGGCAGCCCCTTTTCATTTTTATTTTAGGATTTCAATTGATGCCAGACCTGAAATTAGCATTTCTAGATATTTTAGAAAAGTCTGAAAAAGTGTTAAAAAGTCTTCTATTGCAAAGGAATGTCAGCGACTAGTAGAATTTCCTAATAACACAAAGACAAAGTCAAGTCCATCCACTTTTGATCAGATGTCAAAGGAATGTGAGGTGCAGTATTATGTCAACCCTTAATTGGAGCTCTTGCTGACTTTTTCCTCTATACTGTTCACTAATGTGAGTAAAGTGGACTTCTTGAGAGCATAATGTTTGATGGCCAGGACCTCTTTTTCTTCCTAAGTGGAAACACAATAGGTAAGGAAGTAGCGGAGGTAATATGGGAAGTTACTCTTTCCAGCTCAGTAGTAGTTGATAAAGCCCATATATGCATTTGAGAAGCCCATGGGATCCTTTAGCTGTGGGTAGTGGCTAATGTGGTCATCTAGCATCGACACTGTGGACCACGGCAGCATTTTCCTGTATAGCTCCAAAAAGTCTGCATAGGGATTTACAGGATCTGATGGCCCATAGATAAAATGAATGGGAATAGATACAAAGGCAAGAGCTCCCACCCAGTATATTTTAAACTTCTTCCTCTGGTTTATGTACTGTAAGAGACTGTCAGTGACTAAGTTCCCATCATTGTTGTGGATCCCTGCTCACGTGTCCCACAGTTTGTTCTTGGAGGGCTGAATGTACAGCCCAAAGACTGGGGTGAGGCCTTGAGAGAATACAAAGTTCATCAGCCACATGAGGATGGATAACAGCACGTCTCCATCTTTGAGTAGCTTTTGGAGAAGAGGATGGTGATTCTCAGGAAAAATATCTTCATTTGACAGAAACTCTTTATGGTAAGCTGACCAGATCAGTTCTTCTTGTACCTATAGATTAGCTCCTGAGCAATAGTACCTCCATAATCATGAGACAAAGGATTGATCCTGTGGTGAGGGAGCCGCAGAAGTGATTACGTGATGTTATCTTGCTAAAATATGGAATAATGATGAGTTCCTGGTATGTTACTGAAGCCAAAGCCTAAGAAATCAAGAACAGTCACTCCATGAACCCTCAAGGTCAGACTTTCCCAAATCTTGTACCAATCATAGCTGAATGTTGAAAAGCCATGTGAAAAAAAGCACAACTCTCTCCAGGCTTCCAACCATATCAACAGAGTCTTGGTAGAAGATATGTAGTCCTTTATAAGAAAAATTTACCTGAAGATGTACATGAGTGGAGGGCAGGGGAAAGCAGAGGGGTGTGATATGCAGGTATGCTGCTGGCAAGGGAACAGCCAACAGTCCCACCTGGACCTACCACATCCACATCCTGTGGAGGTGATCTCAGCGTACAATGGCTGTGTTATCCTTGCCTGCTGCAGGGCTGCAAAGCATCGGGAGCCCATGGTGCCTGCAGCAGTGCAAGGTGGCTGGCAGCAGGGGGATGGCCATGGCCAGTAGGGCATGCACTGTGGCACTCTGTTAAGCAGGCATGCTGCAGCCACAGGTATACACTGGAATGTGCTGTGGCTGCTCCAGTTATGGATAATTAGAAGATATTCTACTCTGAATCCTTATTGCCTGGCTAGGTAGTAACAGGTGGTAGTAGTAATAATAATGTTATAAGTAATAAATAATAATACATAAATAATAAGTAAAAAGAAATAAAGTAAAAAGGTAATCTTTGCAACTTCCCTCTAACCCAGTGGTGGTCTCTCTCCAGTTTACAAAACCATTTATCTTAGAGCAGTTAGCAGCAGCTAATCCAGAAACCTAGAGAAAAATGGCTTTATTGCTGCTTTCTAAAACAACTTTGTAAGGGAGGGGAAGAGGGCTAGATAGATGATGTACAGCTCAGAGGAAATAGGAATGAGGAAGAATTGAGTATGAAAGAAGACCCAGGCTCCTACCTTGGCTTAGCTACTAATTCAGAGTGGTCTTATCCTACCCTTTCCCATTGTAGGGTGTCCCATCTGTAAAGTGAGGATGTGGGACTCTGCCTGCCTTTGATTTGTCTTTTCTCTCTCTAACACCCCTCCAAAATACCTCTCCAAAACAGGAATCCTAATACAAGTAGTATCCATTCTATTGGGTAGTCATGAGTTATGCTGCTTGTGCTCAAATCCTGGTCCACCATTTTCTGGCTGTGTGACCCTAAGTAAGTCACTTAACCT